GAATGGCCTCTGATACCACTGGTACATTGGCAGCTGGTGAGCCATCAGGGTTGGTAACATACACCTAAAGCAATCCAGAAGAGGTGAATCAGCATGGAACAAGGCAGCTTCCTCTGAATCTAAATCAATTTATTCACTTATTTATTAATCATTAAGAAGAATTATATGGCTGCCCAACTCACATAGTGATTCCAGGTGGCTTACAAATTAATTTAAGGCTTTTTGTCACTAAATTACATAACTTTTATGCAGATACATTACAGCAAAACATCCAGTGTATAAATACCAATCAATCAATCAATCAATCTACAGTGGCAGCGTCAACCCCGAGATAATCTGAAGCCTCCACATGCATCTTGAACAAGCAAGTCTAGACAGCTCTTCAGAGGCCCAATAAGGGGAGAAAGACATTGCTAAGGTGGCTCTTCCTACAAAATAGGAGACTTCGATTTCTATTACCGTCAGTTCATATGGCATTCCTGGCTTGAAATATTTGGGGGTTTTTGTGAAGTAGATCTGATAGGGAGATGTCACAATATGAATGCCGCTTTGCTCAGTCACTACCATATCACTGCCTGCAAAAAAAAAGAAGGAATGCAACTTAAAATAGGAAATCAAACTGAGAAAGGCAAGAGAAAAATCCTGCAAATATTTTGAAGTAGCTAGTTTCAAACCTAATAAACCCAATACTTTCACAGTTTGCAAATTGTCTCTCAACTTCTTCTATCTTCGTATCCCTTTCTTTTTATAGAAAACAACGTTGCATCATGTTACATGCTGATTTTAATTTATTATCATGTCATGTAAATGGTTTTAAGAAGATAAAATAATGTGGCAAATGATCATTTATAAATAGAAAATTGGCATATTAAAATTTCAGAAGATGTGGAGTGGGAATGCATTAATATATTTTTTTTATTTTGTGGCTTTGCGACTAGACATACTGTTTCCCGTAAAATAGCAATAGCACTTATATGCTTCAAAAACAAAGCCTGGATGTAATTCCACATAATATTATAGATTTAAAACTGCTTGAATAAAATTGACCAAAAAAATTGAAATTTGAAATTGAAATTTGACAAAAGTGATGTGAAATATTAGCACTGTAACTTTCTCCAATTATGCCCCTCATAGAAATTCAATGTTTTTCAGAGATTTTAAAGCACTTCAAAGAGATGAAGAAATGAGTATTTATATAGGACTGATTTAGAAATGGAGAAACAATTTCTGATATAAGGAAAAGGTAGAGATGCTTCAGGACTAAATATGTAAAGGCTCTATCATTTGTTAAAACTGAAAAAAAATAAAGAAAATAACTATACCTCCTGACTGACTTTGAAACAATAATTTCTGAACTAAAGGAAAATACCAAAGAATCATGTCAAAAATTCATACGATATCATTCAAGAGTTCCAGAATGCAGTAAACTTTTATAGGAATAAGAACTTGGAAACAATACTGAGAATATGAAATGGAAACAGAGGAAGAAACCTTTACCTTACTGTGGAAGGATTATAAAAAATTATTCATATTGCATTCCAATTTTTAGCAAAAATTTGAGGACAGTATCTAATAATGATACAAAATGACATATCTGATAGAATTGCCCAAAATCCAAAATTTTGATCAAGTTTTATGGAATAAGTAAGAACTGCTATACCACTTGCTATAGCAATTAAGTGTTTTATTGGTGTTTCAAGAAGACAATAAAAATATTAGAAACAAAGACAAGATCAAATTGATACTGGTGTCAGGAAGCATATGGATAGCCCCGAAAGAGAAGGATATTAATATTCCAAATTTAGCCCTAACACTCCAAATGATTAGAAACAGTTTTAATGGAAAAAACTTATAGATACAGTATATACAGGACAACTTTTTAGATAGCACATCCCTTTTTTTTTTTAAATATAGTTTATTAATTTTTACAATTAAAACCAGTCACAATACATACACAAATAAGCAAAAGAAAGAAAAAAAAAGAAAGAAAGAAGAGAGAAGAGGAAGAGAGGGAAAGAATTTTGAGGGAAAAAAAGAAAGAAAGAGGTTACAGGATAAAAAGTATTCTTATTTTAACAGTTTGCAAGATCTTCTTTTGTTTTCATCACCTTAACTTGTGTCATATAACCACACCTGTTTTTAACTTATATCGCTACCTCATTATTATGTATTGATACTTTTCTTTTATGCCTTATGATATATAATTTATCTTTGGTCAATCCAATTATACCAACAATTCCAGCTTAGATAGCACATCCCTTTTAATCTAATTTGGAAAGTTTTGATTCACTTTACTAAACATTTAAAGTCAGATAAGAGACATTTACCCACAAAAATATTGTGGATTTTGTGGGATAAAGGTGAATAATCATTGTGAAAGAGGAGGATTTAAAAATCAAGTCACAAATCAATGATGTATTCTGGTGATGGTTTGTTTTCTTTTATTTAGTTATTTTCAGTCCCTGGTATTTAAAATTGTAGTCTGTTAATTTTTAAAAGTGTAATATGTTTGTTTTCAAAGAAACAATTTACCCTTCTCTTCTCCCACCCCTGCTCACCTGATTCTGTCATGACTGTTACAGATGCATATAGAGTATGACCAACAAGCTCATTGAGATTTTGAAATCGAGAACGTAGTGTATCTCTTTTTAGTATTGCTTCCCCATCTCCATCAATAATCTGAAAATAAATGAAAAATCAGTAAAAATAAGGAAGGAAATCAAGTGGTCTGCCACAATGTAGAATAAGGAAGATGATGGATGGAGATATGCAAGCTCTGTGGCCAAAGCAGCGAGGGGTAAAGTATGTTTTCAGTCCAGAACATCCAGATAACATCCAGAAGAAACTCAGGCACATGCTCCTTTATTCACTGAATTATCAGAAGGAGAAAAAAATATAGCACAACCAGGCTTGCAAAATTATATTACGGCCAACCTCCATAATGGTAGTTTAGCCTTCTAGTGGAATTGTTCTACCTAGTAGATCTGACACACAAACCCACAAGAACACTCCAATATGCAAACACCCCTGTTACATTTTACCGGAATTCTCGTGAGTGAGTCCGGAATACTCTTTTTAGCATCATCTATTTTCACTCCAAAGAGGACAAAGGCCACACCTTCCACTTTCTTTCCATACAAGTACCTGTTACGACATAATGAAAGTAAAGGTCCAATTATACAACTTTGCTTTTCCTACTTATCTTCTTTGACACAAAAGGAATCAGTGAGGGCGTTAACCTATTTCTCACAGCTCCTTATTTTCTCAACTCTACTCATTCAGGCATCTTTCTCCAAGCCTTTGTCACTTCTGGTGCTGAAGGTGGACGGGAGAAAATTTGAGAGCAGGGAGGAGGATGCTAAGTTCAGTTTCTTTATCCTTCTGCCCATTTTATTTTCTGATTTCTAAATTTCACATTTCTGTCCATTCCAACACTCAAGGCGGCTTGCAAAAATACAAAGTATGGAGTAGACAACATACCACAATTAAAGCCTTAATACAATTGAAATCAATCATTAAAATAACTAAGAGTTTGCTAAAAGGAACATATTTGTAATTTCCTAAATAATGGGGAAATGGGATTAGGGCAGGGGTGGGCTGCTATCGGTTCACACCAGTTCAGGTGAACCAGTTGTTAATTTTATGGCCAGTTTGGCGAACCAGCAAATCCCACCCCTGCCTGGCCCCTCCCTCCCCACCACACCTCTCTCAGGAGTCCTCACGTGGCCCGTTTTGGATCGCAGGTAAGTGCAGGGCCTGTGCAAAGGTTCAGGGAAGGTCAAAAGCAGGCCTCGCAGAAGTTATGGAAGGCCAGAAACAGGCCCATTTCCGGCCTCCAGAGCGCCTCTGGAGCCTGGGGAGGCTGTTTTTGCCCTCCTGGAGGCTCAAGGAAAGCCTCTGGAGCCCCGGGAGGGTGAGAAAATTCAGTTTAGTACAGGGGTGGGCTTCAAAAATGTTAGCAATGGGTTCTCTGTCCAGTTGCTGGGTGGGTGTGGCCATGGTCGGCGTTGCCTAGTCAGCCAAGTGGTAGGGGTGGCGTTTTTGCCCTCCCCGGACTCCAGAGGCTTTCCTCGAGCCTCTGGGAGGGCGAAAATGGCCTCCCTGGGCTCCTGAGGCTCTCTGGAAGCCAGAAACTGGCCCATTTGCGGCTTTCCCGAACTTCCAGGAGGCCCGTTTTTCACCCTCCCCAAGGCTCCACATGCACCCTGCACTTATCATAAGCAGACTAAAAAAGCTAAATAAAGTCTAAAGACTATTTTGCAATATTATAGCTATTCTATTTGTTAATAAATTTCAAGTAAATATGTTCAGATCAGGACTAGTCACCAAATCATATTTTACTGAATATTATGACCCAAAGAATAACCATTTTCACGCAGATGTTCCCTTTAGCTACTCATAGTTGTAAATAAGCATACCTTGCGGTGATAGACACGTGGAAATTTTTATTGCCATCAATGTAAAGAAACTTATCTGATGGTTGCAGACGGACTTCAAAGCTTGGTAACACTACAGAAAAAGAAACAGGTTGAAAGGGTAGAACTCTTAGCACTGACAGGAAGATGTATTTATTTAATTTTATTTAGTATATTTTATTATTTATTTATTTATATCCTACCTTTATTATTTTTACAAACAACTCAAGGCAGTGAACATATCTGACATATCTTTCTCTTCCCATTTTCCCCACAACAACAACCCTGTGAAGTGGATTGAGTTGAGAGAGAGTGACTGGCTAAGATCACCCACCTGGCTTTCATGGCTAAGACAGTAGTAGAACTCACCGTCCCCCAGTTTCTAGCCTGGTACCTTAACCACTACACCAAATTGGCTCCCACAACTTTCCAGGAGAGATCATAGCAGCCATTTCCACTTTTACAAATGACAGGAAAAGGTTTTTAGAGATAAAATCGAAAGGGATAAAACCCAGGATCAGAAAATGGATTTGTTGAACAGAAATGATCCTTCTTCTTACCATATTCTCTGACATCAAAATATGCAGTATAGCTCTCTTCTGGTGAATGTTCATATTTGGCCACAGCCTTCCATGTCCCAAAACTATAGAAAGAAAATGAAGAGCTTTTTCATTGCTTTGGCTTTACAATAAATTTATGACAATAGAGAATAAAGAATAACAGAGTTAGAAGGGACTTTGAAAGTCTTCTAATCCAACTCTCTGTTCAAGCGGAAGACCCTATACCACAGGTATCAAACTCATGTCATCACGGCGGCATCATGTGACGTATCGGGAATTTTTTCCCCTTCGCTAAACCAGGCGGTGACGTGGCCAGCATGGGACACATCCGGCCCACAGGCTGTGAGTTTCACAGCCCTGCCCTATACCATTCCAGACAAATTGTTGTCCAAACTCTTCTTGAAAACCTTCAGTGTTGAAGCATCCATAACATCTGAAGGCAAGGCAATGATATGAACAAGGGATCCAAGGTCACTTCTTGATATTAATAGGATTATGGAGAAAGTGTAAAAGAGGAAGAAAATGCCTGATTCAGAACTCTTCAGACACACGTTTGTGGAAGCTGAAATGTGAGTCTTACTTCTGCATTAAATTTCCTTTTACTCACTGAGCTTCAATGGTGGTGATGATATTGTACCTATTATTTTGTCCACTCAACTTCACAGAATTGCCATACAAATAACATTACAGTCCCACCTGTCCTGCTCCAAGCTCTCCAAAAAACAAGAGGAAATAGAAATGTGATGGACAAATGCAAAATATCAAATCTGAATTTTTCTTACTTTAATAATCAATCTGAAAAGCAAGCTAAAAGGGAGCAAACAATACAACTTTATTCTTTAACCAGTCTTTAATAGCTGAACTTTTTTTTTCCTATCAAAGTTTCACCTTGGTTTCAAAACAGGTTGCCTTATGACAATATCCATGTTAGATTACCTGACAAGCTCTGGTAAATTGTAAGGCCGGATCAAGACTGAAGATGGATTGACTGGATTAGAATTGACAACAACGCCTTCTGGAGTCTGGGACAAGGAAATAAAATACAGGTGTGTTGAAAACATATAGAATGTTGCATGTTATTTCCTATGCATTCTATAAGATTGAAATCCATCTGGAACATTAGATTTTACAAGTGGTCGCCAACTGGTGGGCCACGGAAAATTTTTGGTGGGACGCAGAAGAAATGGCCCCTGAAAGCAATTAATCTGGGCCGCGCAGTTCTCGCGCCTCCCAGCTCTTTGAGGGATCCGGAGTCAAGTACCTGAGATGTAGGCACCAAACAACTCCCACACATGGCGGGCGGCGGCAACAGTCCCCTCTCCCAGCACCCACTGTTAGCTCTCCTCATTAGTTCTCTAGTTTTGAATTGCTCCCACCTCTTTCTTTCCTTCTTCCTCCCACCCGTGCCCACGTGCAGGCGAAGGGAGACGAAGCTGTGCGCAGCTCTCGGCTCTTCCAGCCCTCACTGCCTTTCCCAACATCGAAGCCTCAGAGATGCATGCAAAGCGGTAGTGCCCTGAGTTGCCTTAGCATGCTCGGTTAGTTAAGAACCTCCCTACCCAGGAGGTGCTGGAGGAGGAGGAGGAGGAGGAGGCAGTAGTGGAGAAGTAAGCAACTCAGGGTGTTACCGCTGTGGCAACTTTGCTTGCATCTCCGAGGCTTTAATGTTGGGAGAGGCAACGAGGGCTGGAAGAGCCGAGAACTGCGCACGGCTCTGTCTCCCTTTCCTTGCCTGCCTGCACTGGGCACGGTGGGGGGGGGGAGGAAAGAGAGAGAGGCGGGAGCAATTCAAAACTAGAGAACTAATGGGGAGAGCTAACAGTGGGAGCTGGGGGAGGCGACTGTTGTTGCCGCCGCCCACCATGTGTGGGAGCTGGTTGGCACGTGCATCTCAGGGACCTGACTCCAGGGTCCCTCGTAGAGCCGGGAGGCACGAGAACTGCAAGTGGGAGCATTTGGTGATTTCTAAGAACTCCTGGAACGCAGTAAATTGGCGTTTTGTAAGTCTCGGTAAAAGAGTGAGCTTTGTTTTGCCTCCTTTCCTCCCCTGGTAATGCGAGAGATGCTTTCTCTCTCTCTCTCCCCTCCCCCACCCCCAAATAACCACTGGCTGTGGCTGGGTTTGGCAGCGAAGTGTAAAGCGAGCGAAGTGCCCCCAGGGACACCTTTCCTTGCCTGTCTCCAGGTGAGGCTGGAAGAGCCCAGCTTTTCTTCGGCTGCAGATCTGAGCCTCTCAATCCTCCACCCGGGGATCTGAAAGGAGCTCCCACTTTCTGCCCCTCCCCTCCCCCCAATTAATCACTGAGGGCGGCAGTCCTTCTGTAGGCAGATGCCTTGCTGAGAAGCCCCTGGAGTGGCGGCCAAGGGGCGCTGCCCCCCAAGGAGAGCAAAGCCCCCTTTCTGCCTCTGCTTCTCCCAGAGGCAGTTGCCCCGAGGCCCCACAGCTCAGACACACACACACACACACACACACCCCTCCTGCTCTTCTGTTTCTTTGGAAGGTGCCAGGTGTGGGGAGGCTTCCAGCCTGGAACGTTTTATTTTGTTATCATTGAGCATTTACATTTTTGTTATAATTAAATAAGTGTATGTGTGTGTGTGTGTGTGTAATTAAATTTATATTTAACATAAAAAATTATGTTAAATATATTAGCTTTTTATTAAAAAAAATCGTATTAGTGGTCCTGGGGATTTAGAAGTATGAGTTTGGTGGTCCCTGAGGTCCAAAAGGTTGGTAACCCCTGATGTACAGAGCAAATGCAACCCAACAGGCGGGGCACTGCATTATAAGTTGCAAGACTATTATTTGAATTTTCATCTAGATGTAAACATCAACTGACAGCCCAGAAAGCATAATTAAGACTAATTTGCTTTGAAAATAGAATATTTGCCATCTAAGCCCTTTTTTTACAAGAAAAACATTGGATGAAAAAAGGCTTTCTGTTTACAAACAAAGTAAACAACTAGCTCCTAACCCTAACATATACATGCACATACACAAACACATTCAACTTCAAGACTATTTTCCAGTTTCATAGTGAAACGTTTCAAATCTTTGACACACCTAATATTTAGCACAGAGCTTAAAATTAAACATTTTAGGAAAAATGCACGTATAAAATGTTGGCCAACCAAAGCTTCATAGAGTGGTTGGGTCTACCTGGCATGGGAATTACATGGGAAAGAAGAATCAACAACCATTCCAAACAACCAACAACCGTTTTTTCAGGGAACTAAACTAATCATACAGGATTGCAGACACGATTCTTACCTGAAACTCGACAATCACAGTTTTGTCCATCCTGTGCATGTTGTAATCCATAGAAAAGACACGATAGCGCACTAAGAAAAAAGAGACTAACTGTAATTTGTGACAGTATTCAGAAGGTATGTGCTTGCATCATGCTGGCCAGTGACCAAAATAAAAAGATTGATTGATTGATGTGTTTGCATCATCATCAACAAAACGTATTTTCATAAATTGTATGATATTTTGTAGCTGTCAACCATCCACATGGTTTATGCAGCAAATAAACACTCCTGGGACATTTTTATTACCAAGAGTATAATTTACTGAGCCAACATGGATACAGAAGTAGCAAAGCCAACATTAACATTTTCATGTGCAAACAGCATAGTTAAATGTTCCCCTTTATTCCATCCAATCAATATGGTCAGTTCAGTTCAGTTTGTTTGGGTGATGGATTCTCCGCCTAGCAGACTTTCTCAGCAGATGACATTGGTTCTCAGGCTCCAATTCTGTGCTCTTTGCATTCTTCCCCCCACCCCATTATGCCCCCATTATGCCTCCCCTGCATTCCAATCTATTCCCCTCCCCCCCCCCATTCTTCTTGTCTGGCTGTAAGCGGGGTTTGCAAAGTGAGCCAAGCCTCAGCCATGACAGCAGCTGTCTGCCAGACTCACTGTAAATCCTAAAAGGGATGTGGGACAGTTTCTAGAAAAAAAAACTGATTAGTCCATTTGGCCAAAACAGCAGCATCCTCAGGTTCTTTAAAGGCCAATGGGTTTATTACGGCATAAATGTTTCTAGATTACTTCAGCCTGAATCTTCTGTATCTGAGACAAAAGCACCACATAATTCTTCAAAAAAATATTTTAGAAAAGGCCTTTCTTGAAAAGACATTCATGATGACAAATTTTCTTCTTCTCTTAAAGAAGCATAATAAGAATTGGGGTGGGGTTTTTTTTGGAAAAAAGATCACTCACATAACCCTCAAGGCTTTTATGACTCTTTTATGACTCGCAATTAATCAGGGTGACATCCTCTTGGACTTCTCCATTCCCTAGTGGTTACATTCCACTGAATCAGCCGTGGGATTCTACCTGTTCTGCTACTGGTTGAGCGACCATGCGTGTGCCCCTAACGTGCACATGCAGCTTTCCCTACACCAGCTGAGGACTGCAGCACCAATCAGGTGAGAGGATAGAGAAGGTAAAAGCGCAGGTGTGGGTGGGAGGGCTGATCCTGCGCTTTTCTCTTCTTTCTTCTCTCAGCTGATCTTTGGAAGCTTTTTTTCCCTCCTGTCAGCTGATCACGGGAGGCTTTTTTTATTAGCGGTTCGGGTGAACCGGTCCGAACTGGTAGAATACCACCACTGCACTGGACCATCTATCCATGTGTTTCTTAAATCTTTCCTGAAGTTTCTAAGCTTGATTTCTCAATATCACTAATGCCAACACTCACGAGACATACATGCTTCCATTCCCTGGAAATAGATTGAATAAATGACAAATCCTAGGAATGGTTTTGTTTTATAGTATTATTCATCACAAGACCATAGTGGGACCCCAGGGGAGCGAAGAAATAGAGGCAGAAAAATAGGGTTACCTGGAGAGCCTGGTGTATAGATGCCTTTATCAGTCTGGATGAACACAAAGCCACTCTGGTAAGAAAGGAGAACCACCTTTTCTAGTTCCAATGGCAGACCACTTACTTTCACAACCACATACTGATTTTGCCTGGATTCCTTATTCAGTTCTTTTGCAGGAATCTGGATGAGAAGATGATTAGAGCAGAGGCTTCAAACTTAATCATCACTAAGGGCCACCTGAGGCCTCATTCCTCAGCCCTAGGCAACAACACTAAAACATTGGTCCAAAATTTTCTCCTGAGTCAAAAATGAAAACAAAGAAGACCACAGAATGCCACACATAGAACTATTAAATCTTAAAAACATATTACTTGCTTCTGCTGCCAGTTTCTGATCTATGGAGAGGCCCTGTAGTGTCCAGCTAAAGCAGCCCAGTCAATGAAACTAATGAAGAACATATCCCTGATATCTCAACTTGCCATTCTGCTGTTACAAGTCACATTTGGTGTCCTTTGCCCACTGCCGTGTACCCACAACCTTTTCCCTCCTAATTTACACACCAAGAAAATTCAGCCCCTAATTCCAAGCTCAAGACAAGTGGGAGGGAGAATGAGGGAACCCTCACCCCAATAAACTTTCCTGGTCGACCTGGAAAACATGAATCCCAGCACATTAATGAATTCTACCATTTGGGCTATGAGAGCTATTGTCTCTTTTCCTTTCTTTGGGAAATGATTGGATTATCTAAATGCATGGAGATACACACAGACTAACACACCGCTTTTACCAATATAAACAAATCTGGCCATAACTCTAACCTAGAAGGTCCAAAAGTCAGAAGGTTAATTTCTCTTGATGACATTATGGTCCAATTTGCAGAACTTTTCTGTTTATCTGTCCTTCCAGATGCCAGCAGCTGTTTGACATTCTTTGGGTTCAAGTACTTACCAGAGTCGGAGTTAGTGAAGCCTTGGATGGGATTTGGTCAGGGAATCACATTTCAACACTGAAGCCCTCTGGAAAATCCAGGACTATCATAGGTCATAAAGATATACCATTCAGCATTCTTCATCTCCCCTCCCCACTTACCATTTGTTCATGTTGAAAGTAAACATACTTCTATCAGCACACAGACTAACCCAATTTCTCTTCCTTGGGTAACAGGCAACAAAAGTTGCCCAGAAACCTTTGGAGTTTCCTGAAATGTCTATATTCTAAATCTGAAAATTTGGCTCTTTGGCCCACTGACATCCTGTTTTTACTAACCACTAAATTTAGACTGATTCGGAATCTCTAGCAATCTATTCTAAAAGCTAGCTTAGTAGTTTTGTTTTATTAATCACTTTAATTTTGCTATACTTCGTATCTGTCAAATTTTCTTTTGGTTTCTTCTTATGGTTGACTTTTGGTTTTGATATTGATTTTGATCTAAATATTTATACTATTTTACTTGTTTGCTGTGAAATGCTGTGCAGAATCTTTCAGCAATTGTGGCAATAAGAACTGTAAAATAAATACATATGTAGCCTATAACTCTGTTCTTCTTTCCTCCCTTGAGTTATATTCTCAATTTCTCCCAACATCTGACAGTTGAGTCGTATTCTTTCTACTAAACTGCGTGGCACTTCTTCTCAAGCAGGATGAACAGGATTTTACCTTTATATGTATGTTTGTGTGTATGTATGTGTATATATATTTATATTATGTATAATGTATGTGTGTGTACACACACACACACACACACACCAATAAACCTGGCGTTGCCTGGGTATTTATTTATCCTAATCCTGTATTAGGCAGGAATAGCGACATCAAGTGGCAACGTAAGTGTGGAATGGGCTGTCCTCCCTCCTTCCATTAATGTCTCTGCAATTCCTGGAGAGGCAATGGCAAGAGCAACTTCTCCCTAAGTCCTGATTTCAGCGACAATTAAATTAGTTAAAAATGTTTTCCCTGTGCCCCAGAAGCATCAAGAAATGTTGTTTTGTATGTTATCTGCATGAAGTACATCGTGTCGATCTCGCAGTGGTGCAGGCAGGCCCCCTTACAAATGCCCCCTTGCAGAGTACTGTGAAGCTGTTACCATAGCAATTCCATTTTGCTGTAGGCTGTATCTTAACAGAACACACCCTGAGGGGCGTTAGGGGTGTCTTACCCCCACAATATTTGTTTCCAGGGAGTAAGTCATCTGTGTACCAAATTTGGTTGAAATTGCTCAAGGCGTTCCAGAGTTATGCTGGATCATACACACAAAGACACACACACAGCACCATTTTTATATAGATAGATATTTGCAGGGATACAGTAGACTCTATTGCAACCATACACCCACCTTTATAGTTGGAGTAACAAGCATGCCTCCCGCTGGATTCATATCTACTCTGGTTTGGAACAAGGTTTTCTGTCTCCTTGGAAAATCATGAACAGAGATAACAGGCTGTTTTGGAGCATTGTCTCCATGGGCTTCCACCAAAATTTGCTCTTCTGTGTCTGTTCGCAGAACACCAGGGGTGATGAGAGTGTAACTGCAGAAGAAGAAAAGAACACCTCCTGAGTTAGTTTGCTTAGGAAAAGTGAGGCATTTGATGAAGCATCTCCATAATCTTTCTTTTAGAAAAGTGAAGAAATAAATGGTTAGAAGAACTACTCTTTTTTGACTTAGAAAGCTTCCAAACACAGTTGAAAAATTAGTAAAACTTTATCTTTATATCACTTAAAAGAGATTTAGGGTGCTGTTTTTGGATTACAAAATAGGAGTGACCATTACAGTAAACTGGGTGATATTGTAATGAGATCATATTATAATGAACAATGCAGTGTCCCCTTGCAGCTTAAAGAAGGACAACCTTTTCTATGAAAGAACAAAGTTTGATCTCAGATTTGAAGAAGAAAAAATAGAATTGTGCCTTCATCCAAGGTTAGGCAATTCCCAGCCTGCATACAGCCCTCCAGTAACCCATCTCCAGACCCCAGCACCTGAACCTATGCTGCTGAGATCTCAGATTTTTCCCCAGCAGCTGAGAATGAGGAAAGCTTTTCAATCTCATCATCTCTCAAATCTCCCTCTCCATCACTCCTTGCTATCAACATCTGTCTACAGGATCATTGTTCTTTTCCTTGCTACATGTTACTTTGTGTGCAGCTTGACATGCAGCTAAATCCCCTTATCCTCCAATAAAGCAGACTGTGTATGTAGATCTGGATGCTTTATTAAAGAAACAGGATGGTGAAACTTGGAAAAATAGAAAAACAAACAATAAGAACCCAATTACAAAATTACAGTGTTGAGTTTATTTATTTATTTGATTTATTTTATTTAGTTTGTCAAGCATGTATGAGAAATAAGTATAAGTATGAATATAACATATAAGTATAAACAGATAAAATTATATGCATAATAAATGAGTACAAATAAATGGGAATGGTAGGATAGGGACGGTAGACATGCTGGTGCGCTTATGCACGCCCCCTTACAGACCTCTTAGGAATGGAGTGAGATCCATGATAGACAGTTTAAGGTTAAAGTTTTGGTAGTTTGAGGATGTAGCAACAGAGTCAGGTAGTGAGTTCCAGGCATTGACCACTCTGTTGCTGAAGTCCTATTTTCTGCAATTGAGTTTGAAGTGGTTTACTTTGTATCTATTGTTTGCCCACATGTTATTGTGGTTGAAGCTGAAAAAAATTGTTGACAGGTAGGACGTTGTAGCAAACAACCATAGGTGGCATAGTTCTAAGTTGTCTAGGTCTAAAATTTCAAGCCTGGTGGCATTATTCTATTGCGAGCTGAGGAGTGGAGTACTCTTCTCATGAAATATCTGGACTTGTTCAATTGTAATAATGTCCATTATACAGTGTGGATTCCAGGCAGATGAGTTCCTATTCGAGAATTGGTCTGGTGAAGGTTTTGTATGCCCTGGTTTGCAGTTCAATGTTACCGGAGAAGAAGCTTTGCAAAATTAGGTTAACAACTCTTAATGCCTTTTTGGCAATGCTGTTACAGTGAGCTCTGGGGCTTAGATCTTTTGAAATAAGTACTCCTAGGTCCTAAACAGAGTGAGGGTTGTCTATGAGGTCGTATCTGCCCAGTTTGTATTTAGTGTTCTGATTTTTGTTGCCAATGTATAAAACAGAGCATTTGTTGGTTGAAATTTGAAGTTGCCAATTGTTCGTCCATTTTTTTTTTCCAAAAGTTTTTTATTTTTTAAATTTTATGCATCTTTTCACATGAGCAACATGTTTCTAGGTTATAACACTTGTACATAGTCATATTTTCATTTCCATTAATCTTATATAATATTAACTCATATCCAGGGGTGGGATTCTACAGGTTCGCACCTATTCACTAGAACCGGTTGTTAACATTCTAAGCAGTTCAGAGAACCGGTTGTTAGAAGAAATTACTGGCCTAATCCTGTAAGGAAGGCAGGAAGGAAACATTCTGGTGTTGCTTACAGAAACTGCCTCTCCATTAACCCTTATTACATTCTTGGCAGGATTGGACTTCCTATCTCAGGAACTTCTCTGGAGTTTTTTTTTCCTCCTTTGCTGGTACTTTTCTTGTGTGGAGTGACCATTCAAAGTTACAATGGCACTGAAAAAAGTGACTTACGATCATCTTTCACACTTTACAACTGTTGCAGCATCCCCACAGTCATGAGAGGCCAGATGAGGGAGATGCGTGCCTCGATGTGAGTGATGTTGAGTTGGCCACACTCAGCCAGTCACATGACCAAGCCACATGACCCACCAACTAAGCCACGCCCACAGAACCGGTTGTTAAAAAATTTGAATCCCACCCTCGCTCATATCATTATCCATTTCACTCATCTTTAAATAAATTTGCATTTCATATTTCAATTCATTAATTCAATATCATTTCATCCATACATGTTTTCAAATCTGTATCCGCTATTATTTCCATTTTCAGCTTACCACCTATTTTATTTTACATTACACAACATTATTATCCTTAGTTTTATTTTAGCCGATATATAATAAAGAATCTAAAAAGAGTAAAAATATAGATAAAAACAAAATATTTACGATCCACATGGTATTTCCCATTCCCCTACTTTAATCATAATAGAATATTCTCATTATACAATTCTAATATCTGTTAAATAATCAACTGTATATATATTCAACTGTATATATCCCCTCTAAGCACTAAAATAAGCTTCTTAATATCTCTCATTTACTTATAATCATTGATAATCATATCCATGTATATACCCTTATAGAATCCCTAACCCTTATCTCTAAATTTTTCGGCTTTATTATTTATTTTAATTATAGCCAACTTTCCTTTTTCTAAATTTCCCGGGTCTTCCTTCTTTCCTTCTAACATTTCACCCATCTTCTCTCCCCCCCACTTTCCTGTTCTCTTTTTTGAAGTTTCTTCTTGTATAATTTCTTCTTCTTTTGTTTAATCCTGGGAGTGTTTTCTCTTTTATTTATTAAGTCAGTCATCAATATCATAGTTTTAATTCTTTTAGTTTCTTTTGGTAATGTCTCTTGTTCTCCATGTCTATCTGAGCCTCTTTCTTCTTCCTTTAACTCCGCCTCGCTGGAATTTCTTTGTTCTTCAACCATCGCCATTATTTTCTTTTCCAATATTTCCAATAATTCCCTTCTTTCTTTCAACATTCCTTTTACCATTTGTAATTCCAACTTAAAGTCTTTGCTTATTTCTTCCATTTTTATAGTAAATTATTAATATTCAAAGTCTTTTTTTGCAATCCTTGCCAAAAGTCTCCTTTTATCTTTATTTCTTTTGTTAATCCTTCTGTCTCTTTGTCACAATCAACACCCAGCAGTCCCTGGAAATTGCATTTATATATCCTCTTGGTAGAATTTCTCCCCCTTTTTTCCAAATTTCCCGGGTCCTTATTATTTTATTTGTCTTTTCTTTCATAACAGTTATAAGTCCAGTAATTTTCCATATAATTTTGTAGGAAAAAAAGTCTTTGACCATTAGATAGTGCTCTGTATCACTTTCCACTTTTTAAAGTTCTTTTCTTTTCTCTTTTAGTTATATTAAACAATAACTTCCAACCATTTTCACAATTAATTTTCTTGATATTAACCAATTCCAGGCAAGTCCAGCATTTAATTAACCAATTCCAGGCAAGTCCAGCATTTAATCTAATGCCTAATTAATACCGATTTATATCATTCAAAGTTTAGTCTCTGATTTCATTATAGCTTTTTATGAACCAATTTTGTTTACCTTGTATTTTCCCTTTTTTTCTGTTCACCTCTGTGTTACTCTTATGCAAGGACACTTTCTTTCTACTTCTTGGGGTTATTAAGAAAAAAAAATCAAGTTCTTTTATCTGGTTGCATGTCGCTCACCACTTCACCACTCCAGCACAAAACTTAAATCCTGGCAGTTTTCCGTCTTCAGGGCAGCCATTTTAGGCTGCCGTTTCTCCCTGTCTTCCAGGGGAGTAGTACCTAGCCAGGGAGGGGAGATGCGGCTCCCCTTGATCCAGCTGGCAGTTTCCCCCACTTTGCCCACCCCTCCGAGGTGGGTCAGGATGACACCGGTCCCGTAGGGCCCCTTCCGACAAGGGAAACACAGACCCGAGCCACACAGGATCGTGGTCTCTGACCGTCATCAATGGAAGCGCCACCAGAAGTCCTTGTTCGTCCATTCTGATACATAGTCAAGGTCGCTTTTTAGGGCAGCAGTATTGTCAGTGGTATTAAAATAGTTTTACATCATCAGCGAAGAGGATGCAGTTGCTTTTAATATGATCGCAAAGGTCATTTATGTAAATTAGAGTTGCTGGTAAGCATAACAATTAACACAGATAAATCTAAATCTCATCAGTGATGTTGTGTGCATGGGATGCAGATTTTTGTCTTCAGATGAACATGTGCCATAAATTAGCCTGGATTCTTCCTGGTGTCTCTGTTTCCTCCAAATGCTAAAAGAAATGGAGTCTGGCTTCCCAGGATACACTTGTTTTTGCTTCCCAGCAAAAACAAGTGCATGGGAAGATGACCCTTAAAAAGCCAGGTCTCAATAAAGATTTGTGTTTGGCCACTAGGTGGAACTCAGGGTACATTAAAGAACTACAATAGCAATAAAAATACATAATTACATACACAAACTTTATGCTGGAGCCATGCACTCCCTGCCTGCTATCAACCAATACTATTATTTGAATTCTGAGATAGTAGCATTAGGTGAGCTGCCATTGCTTTTTTGCTGTCAATAGAGTGATGTAACTGTAGTTTCCAATGAAGCTTCCGGGAACTTGATAGTGATCTAAGTTTGAAATATAGCATCCCATTGCTAGTCTCTCCCTTAGAATTGCTGAGGTCATCTGATATATATCCAGCACCATTCTGTAGCAACGGAACACGAGTTAAGGCTGAAGGAATCTGGGCAGTGACTTAGTTTTGAGGCTAGCACATTACTGCTTCTGCTACTGTGTGGCTGCCCTCAGATTTTGTGTTAGATGGAGGATTTCCATTCATCAAGAATCCATGAGATGTTGAATAGTCTTCCTTCGGAAAATGCTCTTGCTTGCTTCAGACCCATCTCTGAAAGGAGGAAACCCATTTGTTCTGTGGGTGTAATAGTCTCTGATGTATTTGTCTCACACCTTGTGTTAGGATCCTCCTGTGGCTGACTGAATGGGAGTTCCTCTCTAGTAAATACCATGGAAGACAGCGCAGAAGACTGGTTCAATTGCTCTTTGGCCTTTGCTGATGTTTGTGGTGTGATTATAGGCTGCTCCACCATATACAAACTTTATGTTGGAGCTGATTTGTGGTTTTCTGCACCTGGGCTGCTGCACACAGTCGACTTGCATGGGTTTCAGTTGATCTTCCACAGAGAGCCTTAAATCAGGTTAATCATCATTAGATTTATATCTTGCCTTTGTACAACTCAGGACAGCAGCATATATAAGTTTGCTGTCTCCTATTTTTCCCACAAAGCCCACTCTGTGAGGTGAGTTGGGCTGAGAAAGGGACTGGCCCAAGGTTACCTGCCTAAGGAAGTGCTAGAACTCATAGACCCCTATTTCCAGGCCAGCACTTCAATCACCACATCAAACTGTACTGGTGTTAAAGCAGTACCACTTGATCCAGCATTTTCCAAAGGCAGCCTTCAATTCTACAAATTTGGTTTAGTTTGTCAGGCCCAAGTAAGGGCCATGGGGACAACAGTGTTGGCATTTTGTAATACTGGAATGTCAACAGTTGAAGGCCTTTACAGAACTTGCAGGAAAAGAAATGGGAGGTTTTGTTGCCAGTCTGTCTGCATAGTAACACCATAGGCATATTCATTACAAAAGCAAAAGTAAAGCAATGAAAAAAAGAAAAACATTTTTAGATGGCAGATTAATGAGCACATTATCTTGTGTGAATGGGACATTAAGGCTGTGTAAATTAAATCACTCTAATATTATATATACCGTAGCTAACAAATGCCTTATCATATCTTCATAATATATTTTATTGGCTCTGGCTCTGTTTGCATTTAAACAAAGCAATTTGAAAGCGAGGCCTGCTGGCATTTCCTCCTTGCAATCTGATAAGTGTGCAGTTTCATATAAATTGTCTGCAGTGTAATTGAATTGGCTTCTCAGAACTATCTGATTACTTTTGCAAACTATGGGGTATATGGAGATTGGAGTAACCAACAGCTTTTGCAGGAATGCATCCTTACATAGACATAATAGATGATAGATAATAATGATTGTGCTTTGTGTATTTATTTATGTATTTCTCTATCAATGCTTTCAAACCTATAAAAATTATTGCCATCTAATGAGGGCCCCCATTCCAAAAGCCCTAAAAGAAACAACTTCTGATTGATAGGCATTTGAGTTTAACTGAATTGAACGCTTTATTTGGCCAACTTTGATTAAACACTCAAGGAATTTATCTCTGGTACAGAGGGCTGTGTCCAAAGTTCTCCCTCTGATCCATGCCGCAGGGGGTGCACTGCTGCAACCTTGATTGGCTGCCGGTTTGACAGCTCAGTATAAAAGGAGCTGTCAAACAGACCAACAGGTGTTGCTTCACAGCTGAACAAGAGCTGCCACTTGTTAGTGCACTTTTTGAAATAAACTGTGAGCAACCTTAAAGCTGCCTCATTTCAGTCTGTCCGGTTCTGCTCTTAGAACAGAATACAGAAGCTCACAGTCTACTTGCAAGACAACAGAAAAAATAATAACTTGGGAACCAACCTGCTCTAAAGTAAAGAAGCTGCTACTGAGAAGGCCATATTAAGAGGAACTTTCTAGTGAAAAGTGGGCTTCCTGGCTAGACAATAATAGCAAACCTTTTGGGATTAGCATGTCAAAAATTTGGGAAATGCCTAATTTGACTCTTCTTGCATTTCCCTCTCACTCACTTACATGCCCCCAATGAAACGGGTTATATATTATATATTATTTTAAAAAAAAAATACAGTGCAATTGTGTGGGGGCGTGATTTTCCAGGATCTGTCTTGTGCCGCTTTCCTTCAAAAGGCTTTCTCTTTCTGCTGAGAAGCCCCTGTGGCCTATTTGAGGTTGCTACGCATTGCCTGAGGCCTTCATTCTTGAAGTGGCTTTGGAGAAAGCTCTTCTGTGGCCTCTGCAGCCCAGAAAACCCTGTGAAAGCTTATCCCTTTTAGTGTGATTTTTGGAGGCTTCAGAGGCTGCATGAGAACATGGTCTTCTTGCACGGAGAGACAGAAATTTCCACACACAAGAACTGACCTCTGAAAACCACTTCCAAGAATAGTTGTTGGGTGTTGGTGATGGCTGGCGTGTCACTCAAGAATGTTGTGCTGTGTCCTTTGACACAGGTGTCATAGGTTTGCCACCACTGTATAGCTAAAACCTTTTTTATATAAAAGTTTACATAAAATACACTCCTGTGTATTTATAATTCAACCTCCTCACCTAAAAGGGATATGTTGAAAATAGCCAGGCCAAGTGATGGATTCTTGACAACACATCACCATCTCCTTTACCATTGAGGGCATCAGCCATCCCTCAGGTATGAATGTTTCCTCTCTAGCTGTACGTGTCAGCCGGGAGGGCCCAGATTTACTTTACAGATAACTAAGCTCATTCCACAGATGACCATGTCTGCTGCAGTGCCACAGGCCTGGACAAATCCCAGATGATCTAGCAGGATGCTATTTCTTTGGTGCCATGAGAAGACCTTGCCCATCCAGCATCCAACTTACAACAGATATGAGCAAGTTTATCCATAAAGGGCCTGGCCAGCAGGATCTCCCAGGCCCAGTGTACTAAAAAAAAGTACAAGGCACTTCAAAGAACACCACTGGTCAGCACTCCATAGAGTGTAGAGGAATGCAGTATGAATGCCTAAGAATGATCATCATGAACACCTTCCTACGTTTCCTTGGATTAACAAAAATGTATTTCCTCTTAGCCAAGAACTGAAGCTCAGATAAGGTTTCATAGTGATAATTGTCAATAATTAATCACACTAATCCACATATGCCTTTATAGACACTGCTTTCTTCTGCTGCAATGATCACATACCCAATATTGTACAGCTGTTGCTTGTGTTGTAATGGTCTGACAGTTCTAACCATATATATATATTATATCTAACCATATATATATTATATTCTTCACATCAATTCAAAGAGTAATTGAGCATGAACAATTAGGATTTACCATTCTTTTTATGAACTTTTAAGAGCTGTTCCTTTAAAACAATGTCTTAGGCAGCCTAACTATGGATTTTGTACATCTAGTGTAGTTTCACCCATTATTGTTAAACAAACAAACCCAACAAAATCCTTTCTGAGTTTCTACTTACTGAAACCTTAACAATGAACAAGCCATTGAGGGTCATACTCTGGAGGGAAAGGTAGGAGGACCTGTCTAAAATCACAACCCTCACTTTTTACAATACCATTTGAACACACACCCCAAACACAAATCCTGCCCTTTCAGTTGTCTTCCCAAAGTGAAAAAGAACTGGCCCCTAATTAAAGGTCTTAAACATTGTCTACTATTTGTAGCTATAGTGTTTAGGTTTCTGTTCCTTTAAAAGCAATAAATCAATTTGGATTCCATGCCAAGTCCCTAACAAAATCCCCATCTAGCATAGTTTTGAGATTTGTTTGTCTCTCTTGGATGGCCCTGCTTTGGATTTACATCTACAGAGAGCTTGTTTGCAATCCCAAATGGGACCAGAACTGACCGTTTTCCTTTCTTTCCTTCAATAAGAGCTGTTATATGTATACTGACAAATCACCTTCTCTGCCTCCTCCTCCTCCTGTCTTTTGCTTTTTCAGTAACTGATTCTCTGTACTGGGACCGGAGAAAAATAGTCAGCCTCGTTGCTGCTATCATTCATACATCATTTAGTTACACCTACTGTATGCCTGCTGCAAAGTCATATCTGGTTTTCTAGTATAGGTGCGCACAGCGAAATAAATATTTTCTCAAAACAAGCAGGTAGACCAGTCTCTGTGCCACTGAAGTCTTAGCCGTGATGGCATCATGAACAAAAGCATCAGGAAGACATCAGGAACAAAGAATGTGAGATGACTGTTTTCTGGATATTCAACTTTATTGTTTTCTGGAAGTTTTTGACTCTGCTTAGAAATGGTAATATAGATTCCCTCCCCCCACCCCCATTGTAAACTGAGAACAAGAGGCCTTTCGATTTGTCCAGAGATTCTTCACTCCAAGGACAATTCCTCAGCTTAGAACTTCAGGGCCTGTCCCTTCTCCTTATTGATTATATATGAGAACACTTTTACTCCTGTTATGGGTTATATTGGACTTTCTGAGAAAGCTCCAAAGTGTTTAGAGACACCTGCAAGCAAATTCATTGCCCTGCAAAGGACAACAAGGGTTTGTCAGCACTGCTTTATTCCCCCTGCTGAAATATCTATGATACTTACAGAGCCCCGTGAGAAGACCCCGGAAAACCAATCAACAGAGCAGCCACCAGATAGAGAGCCATCCCCTCCATGGTAGTCCAGAGGGGCAGGAGAAGGGCTGGTAACTCCAGTATTTATCCAGAGAGCCTGCTTTGAAGCCAAGCCCCGTTGCAATTGCTGAATGTTTAATCAGTACATAGGGGGTGGGGGAGGTGAGGAGGAGCTTGAGCAAGCAGAGAATTTCAGAGGGAAATTATGAGGCCTTAAAAAACACAGTGGATTATTTGTCTTCTTTCTCTCTTAGTTAAACATGATTGCTAAACAGCAGTTTTGTGCAATTTGTTCTAGATATTCTGCTATTATGCCTGCAAATAGCCCTTTATCTTGAGATCAGGAGCTCACAAACTCACTTTTCCTCTCTCCCTCACAAAGATTTGGAAGGGCTTTAAAGTAGACCAAATCTGCCCCTAAACAGATCACAATAAGGCTATTAAGCATTGTTGTTTCCTCAGGTTTTTTGAGCAGGAAATGCCACTTATCTGGAGGCAACTGCTTTGAGGATTGGTGATATGGGACAGTTATGTTATAGTTACCTCAATGTCTACAACCAGATATAGTAGCTCTCAGTATTCCTATTTTTCTTTTCCCGAGTACTTCCCTTGAAGCTACCTACTGCCATAGCCGAACCTCTAAGCATAATCTTTGAAAAATCTTTCAGGACCAGCTCCTTGCCAAAACCTATGGTCTCAAGCCACGGTCATCCTCATCTTCACAAAGGGAGACCCCAGCCTAGTTGAAAATTACAGACCAATCTCTTTATGCTGCATCACCTGTAAAGTCATGGAATCAATTATTAACCAATCCATCATCCTCCACTTAAGAGACAAATAACCTACTCTCTAATAAACAATTTGGTTTCAGAAAAAAACTATCCTGTAATCTGCAAATCTCACACTGCAGAAACATATGGCCTACACAACGCGATCAGGACAAAGCAATAGACGCAATCTACATAGACTTCTGTAAAGCCTTTGATTCAGTGGTACATGACAAACTACTCCTAAAACTAAAATCTTATGGTATCTCTGGACACCTGCATTACTGGATAGAAGCATTCCTGTCAAACAGACAACAAATGGTCAAAATTGGAAACGTCCTATCAAATTCTGTACCTGTCAACAGTGGTGTCCCCCAGGGCAGTGTTCTAGGACCAACTCTCTTCATAAATGACCTCTGTGATCATATTAAGAGCAACTGTGTTCTCTTCACTGATGATGTAAAGCTATTCAACACCACAGACAATACAGCTACCCTTGAAAAAGATCTCGACTATGTATCAGAATGGTCAAACAAATGGCAATTTCAAATTTAAACAAATAAATGCTCTGTTAGTTTTTTATCAGAATCTAATCAAATCTGATTTGTTTAACAAAATGTAAAGTATAGGTGTGAACCAAAGCCTGCATTTATATGTAGAAATAATTGCTCCTCTTTTGTAAATAAGGTTGACTCTTACAAGGTCAGTACATTATTAGCATGGACATTATTGTAAATTGTTGTATGTTGCTCAGAGTAGCGTGTTTATGAGATGGAAGGCTATATAATTTGGTCTGTAAAAAAATAAGAATAAAATAATTTATATGCTGCATGACTCCCAGTGATTATAGGTGGTTGGGAGCTCAAAGATGTAGTACATAACCTTATTAAACTAGAAACTGAAACTTAGATTACAGAAACTATTCAATAAATGAAATGGGTAAGTCTCTGAATAGCATAGTGAGGTCTTGAATTTTCCCCAAGTAAACCCCCACATGGAAATCCATGCCTGCCCCCAACACCAAAAAAACAGGGCTGATTACCAAAGACTGTCTAGAGAAGCCTTTGCTTAAGCATATTTTATCTTACATGCTGCAGTTCTTGGTAGAATTATGCCCAAGTTATAAAGCCAGGCATTCTCTGGCATGATCTTACTATGTGTTTAATTAGAGTGCACACTAGAAGTCAAACGGGTTGTAGTTATTGCCAAAGATACAAACAAATAAGACAATTAAGAAGCATTGTATAAGTTATATTTACAGCTGCACATCAGTAAAGAGTTAATCAGGAAATATAATTCATCAGGTGGTTTCCAGTAAGAGGTTTTCTTGGCAGGATATATGGACAACAGTGGAGCCTGGACAATCTCCAAAGACAATCAATTGCAGCATATCTACTCTGTTTACTCTGGCTTGCTGAAAAGAATGTTTACGCGTGGAAAGTGTTCTGTGACCACTACATGTGTTGTAATTGCAAAGGCAGGTGGGGAGGTGGAAAATGAGAGGTGGTGGGCTCCAAAGTGATTTGAATAGTCAGAAAGAGACACAGCACCCAGCTGAGTCAAGAGACTTTGCTTTCATCCTTCTAAGTTTGTGGCAGTTCTTAATTAGCTTGCTGTCATCATTTGATCAGAAACTGTTCAAATTTGTTAAGACAGCAATAATGTAGCTATATTAAAGCTGACTGGTGTTCGTGTATTTTCATATATTTCCTTCATGTTATAGAAAGCTTTGTAGCTAAAGAGTAAAACTGATTCTCACAGTAGCATCTGTTGTTCGTAGGAGCCAGAGTTTATCTCGCCTATGACCACCTCGGTATTCAATGCAGCGTCAATGTAGACTTGATGCTCGAAGTTAGTAGGCCATGTTTATAGGATGTTTGTCCCTAACCAGGTTGCTTCTTGGGATGCATACCAGCTTGGAGACTGAGCAGCCAGAACCCAGTAGAGGTGCTTAGTGCCTGTTCTTGTGCTGCTATGATCAGTGCCTCAGTGCTGTCCAGCCCTTTCCAAACATTGATAAGATTTCCCAATGTCAGCATGTCAGCTATCTGTCGATGGTCCATGTCATGCAGAGTCCTGTCTTGCCACAGAACTTTCCCTGCTTGATCTTCCTCCCATGTCTGCTGTTGCATCAAGCATTCTCTCAGCAGCTCGTCTTGGTTTTGCCCTGGACAGTGACTTTGACACACACACACACGTACAACACACACATTTCTCCTTGATGTTTCCAAGATTTTGCTAATTGAGTAGTAGCAAGACCAATTAAGGCCAACCAATGCCTTAAGGACAACCCAAGAATGATGCCCCTTGCCCTTACCATTGCTTAATTTACAAGACTTAAAACTCAGTAATGACTGAAAGCTAAAATTGAGTGTGGCAATGAAAGAATTAAGGGTCTGAGAGTTGGAGGAAAAGGCTCTGTGGTGTGCCCCCCCCTTCCCTTGGTACCTTCTTTTGCTAAAAGGTTAATCTAGAGCTATTCAATAGTCACTAATAAAAATATTGACTGTGCCTTCTCAGAATTTTAGTCTTATCAAAATTAATGATGAAATACCTAGGCATAATAAATAAATAAATTGTAGCAGCCTTTCAGTATGTATCAGAATAGTTTTCCTTGGTTCTTTT